TCCTTCGACCAGCAGGATGGGAGGAATAATGGAGGTGATCTTCACTTGCCTGTACTCTGGTTGCTTGTATTTGCACTTGAAAGGCTTTTCAAGCCTGTCTCAGGAGGACACCTTGGAGGAGGAGGGAAGAAGGAGGAGGGGGTCAGACTAGATGGCCTGGGAGACCCCTTTTGACTTGTTCTGTTTCTCTGCTTCTATGATGTGATTCAAGATGGCAAGGTAAGGAGATCACTTAGGTCCCCATGTGCAACATTCTTGTGCATCTGAAAACAGTAACTAGTTCAAGTAGGGTTGCCTCAGTGGATCCATGTTCATTTTGCTGAAAATATGCTGGGGTTTAAGAGTTCCTGATTTGTTCTGTATCTGATCTTTTATGAGAGAGCAGCTTGACATTATTTTGAGCAATGGGAATTTTTGGCTATGTCTCTTCTCATTCCCCGCACCCCGAAATAAATGAATTTAGCTTTAAATCATTTGACACACAGATATGCCTCTTGGACCAATGCAGCTTTTAAATTCTGGTTATTTTTTTTCCAACTTCTGTATTGTACCGGCGTCTCTAACATGCAAAGTTTTGACTAAATGCTTTCCACAGACACAGTCAAAAGGAAAAGGGGTCTATTTTTCATATTTTGATTGTGAACATATTAAATATACATAGGCTCATAATAAAGAAAGGCTTTCTTTAATCTGGTAGAACCTTATATACAATCATAGTGTTGGATTTTATCAGGATCTTTTTCTCCCTTCAGCAAATGCTTCAGTTCTAGTTCCTCAATGTAAAAATCCTTTGGCTTCCCCTGCCAAGGTTCAGCTGGCCCGTTTACCTCCTACCACCAGGCAGGCACAGTGTAGCATCTCAGTAAAGTTTCCCTGTGCCTGGAATGAACAGATTGTCATAACAAAGGAAAAACCTCAAAACAGATCTCACCTTCCCTTTCCCAACAAACAAAATACCCAGAAGATTTCAACCAAAGTAGAAAAAGCACACCACCCTCATTCCTTTGACATTAGTATGTTTTGGGAAAGAGATTTCAGGCTAAATGGCCTAAATATCTTGTTCCTACTAAATGCGTAAAACATAGCAATAACCAAGCCTTAAAAACTGTTGTGTTTTTTAGATGTTGTATTGGAATTCACCAAAGCAGCTCGCAACTTTCATAGAGCAGAGTTGCATTATACACCTTTGCAATATAAACAAAGGAAAGAACAATATTAACCTTGGGCTATTGTGACGGGAATGAGCCCAGTTTCCAACAAAGTAGTGCTGTGAAAGTGTCTGCTTTCAGTTAATTGTAGCTTGTGTTGTCCAAACTCAACACAACTGCAGCTAATTTTAACTATGATATGTTTGAAATAAGTCAACTTCAAATTGTGATAGATAAAGCTGGCTTGGATCAACAAACTGTAGCCTGGATCAATCACAATTTAAACTCCTTTATACAGTGGTACCTTGGCTCACGAACTTAATCCATTCCACAACTCTGGTTGTGACCCAAATTGGTTGTGACCCAAGTCAAGTTTCCCCATAAGATTCAATGTAAATAAGGTTAATCCATTCTGTAACTATTTTTTTAAATCAGAAATTTTGAAACAAGGTGACAAAGAACAACAAAGTAACACAGTACTGTACAGTACAGTGGAGAACACTAACCTAGGTGGTGGGGGGAGGTTATTGTTGAGGGCGAGTTCCCTTCCATAAGGACATTGGGAAGATCTCTTTCAGTGGTTTCCTCTCTCCTTTGTCCCTTAGCTGCAGGGTCGATTTTGGTGAAAAATCCGTCTATAGTCACTTTTTTTTCCTGTTCTGCATAACCCTCCAGAAATGAGAGACCACGTTATCATTCATCAGATTCAACACTCTGTTCATTACAGTTATGTTGGGGTGGGTGGTGCTTCTCAAAGAAATCCTGGCATGGGCGCACTCCTGCAGGAAAGTTGGGTGCAATCTCAGCCATCTCTCCCCCGCCACAACCAGCACGATCGCGGCCATCTCCCCCCTCCCCCACCAACCAGCAGGATCGCGGCCATCTCCCCACCCCACCCCCACCAACCAGCACGATCGCGGCCATCTCCCCCCCCCACCCCCACCAACCAGCACGATCGCGGCCATCTCCCCACGCCCCCGAGTAGGGAGATGGCCATGATTGCAGTTGCGTTTGTGCAGGGAAAGATGGGTGCAGCACAGCACAACTGCAATCAAGCATGTGTTCCCTGCACGAACATGACTGCTATCATGGCCATCTCCCCACTCGGGGTGGGGGGGAAGATGGCCGCAATTGTGCCGGTTGCAGGGGGGGAGATGGTCGAGATTGCACCCATCTTTCCTGCAGGAGCGTGCCCATGATCACACACGTCTTCCCTGCACTTACGCAACTGCGCTTGTGGCCATCTCCTGTGATCTTGGTCGCCACCCAAAGCAGAGCTCATGACCCAAGTAAAAATTTTCATGAAATTTTTGTTCATGACCCGATTTGGTTGTGAACCAAGGTGTTCGTGAGCTGAGGTACCTCTGTAATTATAACTGTGATAAATTAAACTATGGTGAGCTTAAATTGGAAGCAAAAGCTTCTGATCTCTTTGCAGCCACACATGGACAAGCAAGAAAGGAAGGAAGAGGTGTAAGCAAGCCTGATGTGCGATTATTTTTGTTTGTATCCTAACAAACTATAGTTTGTTTAATGTCCCAGTGTGCTGAGTGTGCTACTTCAGAATCTGGCAGTAAGAAATGTCTTTGTCTTGATGTTCCAATTTGATCGTAGTGTTTTTTAAAACACCACCTTTTGCTTTGGAAGACAGTATTGCACATTCTCTAAAGCAGAGGTGTCCCTTTTCATGTTTTGGCCAACAGCTTTCATCTTTGACTGCCAAGGCCAGTAGTGTGGGATCATGGGAGTTGTATGTCAACCTGTTTTGAAGGGCCAGAGGGCTGTTGCTTTACAGCAACCCATGGCTGCTGTAAAGCATTTAATGAAAATGTTGGGAGAAATATCTCTGGCTACATTTGGTGACTGTGAGTAAAGCAGCCTCGTATGATTTCCCAGTGTTTTTACAAATGCCATGTTGCCTTGAGAGTTGCTCAGCCTTCAGGTGGCGGGGGAAGCTTTTTAGTTGTGCAGGTAATTTTCCAGGCATCTTCCAGCCCTTGGAGTGCTTCACCTTTCCTACTATTTTACTTCCAGGAGAAAGGACTATGATCTGCTGCACCAGAGACTCTTCTCAAAAACCTATTTACTCCAGGGGCAATACTAGGCAGTCTGAGTTCATATCAGAATGTAGCTAGCTTTATGAAAATAAAACTGTAACTCTGCTGGCAACATATGGAAACACCAGATGGTGCCACTATCCTGTCTTTATAGTTGTTCCATTTTTCTGTCAGCTGAGGTTTGTTAGTGCCATGTCCTTTTAACAAGGCAAAAATCTGCCAGGAGAAGTTTGACTGCAGAAGCTCCACCAGGGGATGGCTGCCTGTTTTCTTCTGTTCATGTGTGGCGTGACAACCAACAGCATACATTTTCAGTGTAGCCCAAAAGCTGCCAAGAAAACATTTTTAAAAGTGCCAATTACACAATGTTTCCATTGGGGAAACATGACTGATTTTTCATAAGGTTGATTCTATTTACCAGACCACATCTAGACAATACATTTTAAAACACTGTCAGAAATTCCTGATAGAACACATTAGCGTAAGAAGGCAAAATTCAGAGAAAATGGTCTGTTGTTTGGGTCTTATTGGTCCCTTGCTTCGTTCAGCCATCCTACCAAATAGAATTAAGCACTGAATGCAGCACTTAAATATAACCTTGAGCTAATCTGAAAGGCTAGCTTATGTAATAGCCTTATTGTTAGGATGCATTTGATAGCCGTATTTACAGGATCATAAATAAATGTGGATGACAATTGCAATGTTCTCCTTGACTTTCAGACCAGAACTGTAGGGAAAGCTGGAAGAGTGGCAGCACAAAATTTAAACAAAATGTGCTTTGTAACTACACAGGGCAAAAGTATTTTTTTCTGTATAGTTATGGTGCTGCTGCTTAATGGCTACATGTTTCTGACATCATTTTCTACCTCTTCTGGGCTTACAGTATCCCTGTTCCTGACTCTGTTATCAGGTAATACCTTCAGAAGAAGGTGACCATATCCTGAAGGACATTCCTGCTCTTATCTCTACTGTAGCCAGAGTTAGCATTTAATTTCCATTTTTCAGTGAGTCATATGATAGACATCAGGATATAATATATTTTATATCTTGAACAGGCTTATAAAAGCTACTTTCTTGGTTGCCTGTAGCAAGGAGGAATTGTCTCTGGACCATTAGGCGTGGAAACTCTTTTTAAGGCACCTTGAGTAGTGTAGTTGCTAGAGAGAGAGAGAGAGAGCGCGTGCGCACGTAAAATTCAAATAAATAAATATTTTGATATATTAGTGTGTTTTCTTCTCTTGTCACAAATTACTAACACATGTGGACAGGAGACATTGTTGTGTTCTCATAACCTTTCTAGATATTTTAAAGACCAGCTGTGAGTTTATTTGTTAACCTCCTTGTTCAAGAAAATAATTTCACATGGCTTATCGTGAACATTTCTGTGATAATACACTGGACCTGTTGTGCTTGGCAGTAGGCAGTTTAACATTCCCAAATTGTTAATATGTAACCTAGACATTCTGATTAATTAAAGTGGAGTCCCATAACTGACTGTCACATTCTGTGATAAATTATAGCTTGAAAGCTTTGGGAGTATATTTGTTGTATAGTCAGAAGCAAACAAATTCATTATCAAACTATCACACTGCAGAAGCTTTGGGGGAATTCTCTAGATAAACTCAACTGTATGTTTATTTTGCTTAAGTTGTATAACTTATAAAATAACATATATTAGCAGCAAGATATTACCTAAGGCAGGGTATTTGCTTGGGTTAGAAAGAAAGAGTAACATGTTGGATTATTTATATAGCCCATTTAACAAAGTAATTTTTGTGTGTGTTTTATTTTCAAGATCCCCATATTAAAGTCTCTGGAAAGAAAGAAAACGTTAAAGAAGCTAAAGAAAAGATCATGTCTGTCTTGGACACAAAAGTAAGATGAAAATCAACAACTCAGCTTTTCTTTGGAATTTCAGGTCTTGGGCTTCTGATTTTCGAGACTCAACAGTGCTGAATTCATCAGCATTTTAAAGTTACCAAACCTTCTAACATTACATTAAAAAGCAAACACTTTTGCTGAAATGTAGTATCTACATGGATTATACAAGCAGCAGTTACTTCTGTGGTAAACTTGATCTACTTGCAAGTAGTTTCTAGTAGTTCAGCTTTGAATTCTATAAAATGAGGCAATAATAGCCCCAACAGGAATGCTGAAAATTCTTTTAGAGAACTTGGAGTTTTGTACTGTAATATTTTCATTTTTAACAAAGCAGTCTGATCTTGCTAAGTACTTCTTTAAGCTACATAGGTGCAAGCAGCTGACCTAATGCACAATTAACCAGAAGCCATCATGTGAGAGCTTCAGTGCAGGGTCTCTTGTTGCTGTGGCAGATCCAGTTTGGATGTTCAGTTCATATCGTGGGTGCAGTGTAGCATGTTATCCATAAGCTCATCGAAGGTGGGTTATTCAGGTGTTTAACAAGCCCCACCAGAAGCGATGGGCTCTTTTCGGGTTGCAGGCGGATTAACTGCCCAAACAAACCAGGTTCACACTTCATTGCAAGCAATGGTGTGCCTCCCATGGGGATTGAAATAGTCAAAATGGCACCCACCATGACCATGAAAAGTTCAGGCAAGAAATGCACCAGCAGTGGCTTCCTGTCACATGTGACCCGGGACACTGTCTGCACTGCACTAGTGCTCCATTCTAGGGTTAGCTGAATGGCTCAAGTTTCAAACAGTCCCTGCCACCTGAGTATGGATGACACAACAATCCATGTCAACCTGCCACGCAGGGCTGAATGTTCAAAATGGCCGCCTGCACGGACTGCAGCCTGCCCCAGTGGAGTGTGTGGGGTGTCCCAGTTTTAATACAGCAGCAACAGGTTCACATGTCATGTTAACCCCTCCTGGCAAAAAGTCACAGTGGGAGGGTTGTTGCCCAAACGGCCTGCATTATACCTGACAGATGAGCAGGATTGTTTTACCCCTCCTTCCTTCCTGGTCCATCTGTAGGTATCCTGTGGACTCCATGGCAGGGCTGACTTTTCTGCTTCCTCCCCGGCTATGATTGCAAGCCCCTTTTCCTTTGCCCCAGTGTTGCCCCTCTTTGATCTCTTGCTTTTTCCAAAGATCATGATCTCTAATTTTATACCCAGTTTTTGCTGGCTGTATCCTAGTGAAACTGCCCAAGCAGCACCATGGAGGGGTAGACACTCGTTGGCAGAAGGCTTTTATCTTCTGCTCTTTCAGTGGAACCTCATGCGCTCAGGCTTCTGACAGCTTTCTCAGTGCAAAACGTTGGCCACTTCCCAATGCAGCTGAGGATGCTGAGGGACCACAGTCAATTTCAATTCCGTCTTAAAAAGGCCATGCTCTGCCCCAACACAAGTTGAAGCTAATTATGCCCAATGAAGTACTGCATGTTTGCTTGATCTGTGTTTCCCACCTTTGTGAAATACGGTAAGTATCTGGGGTCTGTAAAGATATTACCTGGTTTGGGATGTGAAGGAGTATAATTTGCATTCAGAAGGGATGGATACTTTAAATTCAGTAGAGTGGTGGTGGACTGTCTCTCACTGGAGACATTCAAGGTGAAACCGGACAGCCCTCTGAGTGGGATGGTGTAAACTGGTGTCCTGCAACAGCAGGGGTTGGACCTGATGGCCTTCTTGGCCCCTTCAACTCTACTATTCTGTGATTCTCTGGATGTAAAATGCAGACCAGTTTATAAAAACTATAACAACATACTGACTATAAAACAAATTCTGAAAGTTTTCACCTTAGAAAATTAGCAAAATGCCTTGTGGATGAAAATGGATAAAGCCACTTTTATTCTCGTTTCCTGTTTTGTTCCTGCTACTTCTAATTCCTCACTACACTTGAGTTGCTACCAAAATGGCTTGGATGAAGATGATTCCAGATATTTTGGTAGCTTAAGACAGAAATCCAAATTTCATGTTTCCCTAGCTGGAAGAATAAAGACTTAGACACATGTATAATTGCCGGGTACCTGAAAATCTTTCTTCTACTTCTCCCATAATAGTACGGCTGGCTGTTCCACCACAGTCTTCAGTCTTGAATACTTGAACACTTCTGTTGTCTTTATGGTTATCTATTCATGACAAGGTCCAGTGGGGAATCTTATAGTTAACATTATTTGGTTTAAAAGTGTAAACCCAGATGTTAGAAAATATATTAGTTCACATAAAGTAGGATACTCACAGAATCACCGGGAAAGTATTTGGAGAGGCAGAACTTCATTTCTGCTACTACATGAGATCTACACAACACATATCTGAGTCCTAAATATCAACTGAATATTAAATGGTTAATAATGGTTACTATGTGGAACAATATTTAATCAGTAGCAACAGAATTCATAACATACATACAATGCTTGACTATAGCCTCCTTCAACCCATCATTCGCAGCCAGAGCATGTGAATGGTGGTTCCTACCACATCTGGTGGGCACAAGTTTTGGAAAGGCTCAAGCAGTTATGCAAATATCATTCAAGCAAATAGGAGCCAGATGCGGTGTATTTTATAAAACACAGGGTTGATTATACCTGGAACAAATTCCTTACCTTGAAAATGTGTCTTTATTTCAGCCTGGTTTGGCTGGACTTTAAAAAAAAAAAAATGGATTTGCTGTTGGCTATACCAGTGGCTTTGTTTGTTTGAAAAAAGGGAGTGCTCTTTTTGAAGTTATTTTGGTCAATAGAAGTGGTTCTGATATAATTTACAACTCTAATATTTGCTTAAGACACAATCCAGAATTTCAAGAACTTTGTGGCCAATGTGGGAGAGCATTTGGCTGAATGAGGGTGCAGAGGAGCTCAAAAGTGGTGTTTGTTGTGGGTCCGGGGCACATCAGTTTGAAGAAGAGGTGCTACCTAGCCCAGGGAAAGGTTATGCTGCCTCCTGGGACCTGGCTGTGTTTCTGGAGAAGGTAGGGCCTGCCACAGTGTCCCTGGAAGATGTCCTTACATGGAGAAGGCAGAATCTCATTTTTGCACAGGCCACACCAAAAGCAAGTCAAACTAGGGTCAAGCTTTTCCTGGCTTCAAAGTAAGTAGTGGAGGAACTTAAAGTTGTCCAGTTTCCAGTGTTGTTGCAGTCACAGGAGCATCAAAGAAGAAGTAGCTATCATGTGGAGTATCATTTCCCAACCTGGTGCTTTCCTGGTGCTTTAGACTACAACTTGCAGGATTCCTGACCTTGATGGCTAGGGCTGATGGGAGCTGAAGTTCGAAATATCTGGAGAGCAGCAAGCTGGGGAAGGCTGATTTGCAGGGCTGAGAGGGAAAGCAATGCTGGGAGAGAGGAGTTTAAGGCCTGTCTAGTCCAGGCTTGTAAATTAGACGCCAAAGTGATTAGTTCAGGTGTGTAAATTAGACCCCCTGCAAAGGAATAATTCTATTCAACAACCTTTTCCTCCTAAGAGGGGCAAGTGGTGGATGAACCAAAGCTCTATGACCCTGTTCGCAAGCTCCTTTTCTACAAACCAGGCTCGTAAAATGTTTTGCAGGCTAGAAAGGCACTGAGTGATAAAGAGGCATGAAGTTGCCCTGGCCTTCTCCACCAGCTCACTTGCTTCCTGTGCTAACCTTGCAGGACAATACTTTCTGTGCTTGCAGCTCAGAAGCACCATGGAGCCGCAGTGGAGAAATCTGTGTGCTCCTAGCTCACTTTATTTCTATGCTCGATGTGCCAGAAGGATTGCTGTATCCCTCCACTATTGCCCCACTACATCTCCGGGTGGGACATGAAAGTGAAGTCCCAGCCTGTCCACCCAGCATAGACATCAAGCAGCCCGTCTGCAGCCCCATAGGATTGCTCTGTCCTTTTGCCATGGGCCCACAAGCCACCGTGTTTCTGTGCTTGATGCAGAGGAAAGGAGCTTTGCTCAGATGTACAAAGGCTTGGTGGAAGAGGGTTGGATCATTCTGTCCCTCCTCCAACCACTTGCTATGTCGCCATGATACCTTCCGCTGCAGCCAGCGTGGAGACAAGGCAAGTGGTTGGAGGAGGGACAGAGAAATCCATCCCGTCCCTGCCAGACCAGGATGAAGGTGGTCCACGGGGCCTGCTCACAGCCCTACTCCAGTAACCAGGGGAAAAAGACATAGTGTTGACATGACAGGGTACTCACAAATGGAATCTGAAAATAATGGCCGCCTTCTGTTCGTACCAGACATATTCCAGGGTGTGCTGCCTTTGCACCCAGAGGCTCAGTTTAGCATCTCTTTTTCAGTGAACAGTAGCTCTAAGGCCATCTGTGGCATCTAAGGCAGCATCATGGGGGCAAGAGCCCAAAACACACTGTCAGGAAGAACTGTGAGAAGTGATAATGGGCCATCATGCAATTTGAAAGCTTATTCAGAAGTCCACCATCTTTCAAAGGACTGCATAACCTTAAAAAATAAGATTTCCTATATTTATACGCAACACAAGTACTTAAGTATTTGATAATGAATACAGAAAATATTCACTGATTCTCCAACACAGAAGTCTTTATTTGTTCAATTGGAGATACCCATACAGGGAAAAAATGCATTTCATTAAATCACCATTTATTTTGTCATGACCATTCTTCCTTCACAAAATATCTACCAAAATACACAGGGAGAAATGTTCAGAAAAAAATTGTCAACAGTAGAATGGTGTTCAGAATTGGAAATGGAAACTAGAACTTCATCCCTTGTTCCATGCAAGCCGTTATTTCATGAATCTCATTCTGTCTTTCCCACCCACTGCATCTCTTTTTCAGCGTTTCTGTTGTGTGTGTCTTTATGGGAAGAATTCAATAAAGGAAAATTCTTTTTTTTTTTTTCAGAGTAATCGAGTCACCCTGAAGATGGATGTATCTCATACAGAACATTCTCATGTGATCGGCAAAGGAGGAAATAATATTAAAAAGGTGATGGAGGAAACTTGCTGTCACATCCACTTTCCAGACTCGAATCGAAATAACCAAGCAGAAAAAAGCAATCAGGTGAGTCTTCTCTAAAATTGTGTTTAGCCGTAATATCCCTGTGCTTAGGCACTGGCATAGAACAGCGCATGGGGAGGGAGGCCGGGTATATTTGCATTAGCACGGCTTCCCCTCCATCCCAGTCATGTTGATGGCACATCCTGAAGCAAAGAGGCAACTCTGTGCAGGGATTCCCAGCATTCTGCATCACGGAGGGAGCCTGTGCTAGAAGGAACCTCTTCTTCAGATGTTCAGCCCCAACCTAAGGGGGCCTGAAAGGAAGTACAGTTGATAGATGCTGACTGTCCCTCCTGCTTGAGTATTATGAGGCAGGATTGGCCCATGGATATCTTAGAACTCTTATGCTTTTGAGCAGAGATTGTTTGTTTGTTTGTTTATTTAAACAACATATATGCCGCCCCATTGCATGTGCCTTGGGGCGGCTTACAATCATTAAAATTGTATATAAAATATATTTTAAAAAATTCATACATAAATAAATACAAAAATAGGATAGGTTAGGATAGGATAGGATAGGATAGGATAGGATAGGATAGGATAGGATAGGATAGGATAGGATAGAATAGAGGATCCAGCCTGGTCAAAAAACCATTAACAGTTAAAATAGCGTTTAAATAAAAAGGTCTTGGCCTGGCGCCGAAAAACAAATAAGGACAGCACCAGGCATTATACCACTTTGGAATGCACAGGTGTGTGTGTGTCAGGTAGAGAGGCCACATCCCTTGTTGCTTTGCTGCTGTACTGGTCTTGCACAGCTGGAGCTTTACTTTGCATTATCTTGTCCTTTTTCCTGCCTATTTATTGTCCTGTAGTCCTGGCCCACCTGTGTTAACAATTCTGTATAATACACACCCCTTTTAAAGTACACAAAAACATGCTTTGAAATACTATGGAAAAAATATTTGGTTTTCTGAAAGCCAGATGGTTTTCAAGTATGTTCCAGATGTTTTGTCCTTCCTCAGCGTTTTGTCCTTCCCCAACATTCCTGTGTGTCTGCATTGGTGTGTGCGTGCACACAGGGAGACAGGCAATGGAAGTTTGCCAGACTTTAGTCACACAGAATTTCCCTTGCAGTTGTTGTTGCATGCCGTCCAGTTGCCTCAACTTACAGCGACCCTATGAATGAATGACTTGCAAAGTGCCTGTCCCCTTGCTAGTGCAAGGCTGCTGCTTCCTTTACGGAATGGCCCCATTCTTAGTGGGCCTTTCCCTTCTCCTCCTGCCTTCAGCTTTCCCTAGCAGTATTGGCTTCTCCTGTGAGTCTTCCCTGCCAGATTCAGTTGCCATTGGCTAACTGATATTTCTCTATTAAGCAGACCCACCTGCACGCTAAAATGGTACCGTTCCTGAGAAGGCTGTGCTGTGTGCTTTGCTTGGAATGTGCGGGTTGGTCAAGAGTGTGTTGCTGAGTCAACCAAATCAAAGTCAAGGACTTATCCTGACCCGAAACCACTTTTTGCAGCCCATAAAATATAATAAATAAGTGCAGCATGGGTTTTTTTTTTCCTTAATTTCCCTAATCCTTGTGGATGCAGGGATAAGTTTGGTGCAGTAATGGAAATAACTCCTAATATTTTCACAACCAAAGGTTTACTTGCTCAAGTGATCAGAGAATTTCTGCTTGCTTATGTGCTACAGATCATTTTTGACAGAACAGTGTTTGGAAAATGTTATGGAGAGAAAAAATTGAAGCGACTTGTGGCTCATTCTGTTTTGAGATGTAAAATAGTTTATTATTAACTTTTATTTTGAAAACAGTATTTAATCACCTTCTTTGTTTTACTTCCTGATTAGATTAAATAGGTATCATTTCCTAGGTACATTTCATTGCACTCACACTAGTATAATTAGAATATTTTTAGAGTAAGAAATCAAAAACTTAAAAAATTTGCATTTAAATTATACATAAAGTGTCAGGGATGCCAATAGATGCATATGTGCGAATCAAAATGACACAGTCATTGCTAGAATTTAAATAACGTGTTCCAACTTTTGCAGGTGTCTATTGCAGGACAGCCAGCTGGAGTTGAATCTGCCAGAGTAAGAATACGGGTAATTATGAAATCAAGCTCAGTATAATGGTCTTTTTAAAAGCCTGAAGTTAACTGATTTTTTTCCCACTTTTGCTAATTTAATGTGCTTCAGAGTTTGCTTCTTGATGGAATAAAAGGGTAAAGTGTACAAGATCCCTCAGTGTATTCCTAATACTCTTGCCTTTCCAGCTTTTTCCCCCAAACTTGAACTGCCAGTCCCAGTAAGAGTAATGCTACAGACCGGAGATGCAAAAAGCGTTCCATTTTTGCTTTCTCCACTGAAATTCACAATAGAAAAGTTCTGGGTACCTGCTATGGGTAAATGTCCCCAGAGTCAGTTCTGAAGGACAGGTTTATCTGAGGCATTGTGCTTTATAAATTAGAACACCAGCACTAAGGTTCTGAAGTCATGGGTGGAAATGAGATAACTATGCCATGGCCAACTACCATTTCAGGCATATCCCTGGAAATCTTGCAATCAGCAAAATTTGACTCTTGCTCCTTTATACCAGGAAGTGTGAAGCAAGATAGCCAAGTGGGATGGTGTTGTTGTTGTTGTTAGTCGCGAAGTCGTGTCTGACCCATCGTGACCCCCTGGACAACATTCCTCCAGGCCTTCCTGTCCTCCACCATCCCCCGAGTCCACTTAAGCTCACGCCGACTGCTTCAGTGACTCCATCCAGCCACCTCATCCTCTGCCGTCCCCTTCTTCTTTTGCCATCTATTGTGCCCAACATTAGGCTCTTCTCCAGGGAGTCCTTCCTTCTCATTAGGTGGCCAAAGTATTTGAGTTTCATCTTCAGTACCTGGCTATCTAGATTTGTCATAGTTTTCCTCCCCAGGAGCAAGCGTCTTTTAATTTCTTGGCTGCAGTCCCTGTCTGCGGTGATCCTGGAGCCCAGGAAAATTAAATCTGTCACTACCTCCATTTCTTCCCCATCTATTTGCCAGGAAGTGAGAGGACCAGATGCCATGATCTTAGTTTTCTTAATGTTGAGTTTCAGGCCAATTTTTGCGCTCTCCTCCTTCACCCGCATCAAGAGGCTCTTTAGTTCCTCTTCACTTTCTGCCATGAGAGTGGTATCATCTGCGTATCTGAGGTTGTTGATATTAGTGGGATGGTAGGAGACAAGAAATGGTTCTCCAGCTTAGTGGTCCAGGTGTGTAGCTTCATGATAAGTCTGATACCTTCTTATTTGTGCTGTGTTTTTATTTCAATCATTGTTTTAGGAGCTGCTTCCTCTGGTCCTGATGTTTGAATTACCTATCGCTGGAATCCTTCAACCAATCCCTGACCCCAACTCTCCCACAATTCAGCATATATCACAAACCTACAATATTTCAGTGTCCTTTAAACAACGTTCGCGCACATATGGTGCTACAGCCATCATCAGAGGATCTCAGAATAACACTAATGCTGTAAAGGTAACATCTTAACTAATTATTCCAATTGCTCTGAAGGCACAGTAGGATTAAGTATTTGCCTGGCCTGCTGGCTTTGTTTGGATCTGTGTGGCTGTGGGCCAAGCCCAGTGAGTCCTGAAGTGCATCCAAGGCCAACTGATGGGTCACCATTGCAGAACTTCCAGTGTAAGCTATTTCTGAACAAGAGGAAAGAGAGAGGCCTTTTTTCCCAAGAATGTTTCCCACGTGCTATAGCACCTGCGGTTTGAGATGTCTCAATTCTCTAGTACAGAGAGGAATTTCATGTATCACATGCATTTGTCTTGATTAAAACATAGGGAATGGAACCCTTTTCACTACTACCATAGTAAAACCCATGTGCTTTTGGACAGCATACCTACCGGCATTTATTTTGTCTGAACTTTGTGTAGATGTGAATGCTCATGAAACCTGAGGCACTTCAGCTTGATAAGCAGTGCATTTTTTCCTGATCTTACAGGGTAGGGTTTTGTAGCATTACAAGCAAAGCCACACTGGGTTGTGTATATGCACACATCTATTGCAGTGATGGACAGAAACGAGGCCGGCCTAAGAACTGGCAGCTGGCAATCAACCACATTGTTATAGTTTCACCCACTTGCCCAAAACGGAATACTCTGGAGAGGAAAGAGTTCCTCAGAGAACTGGTTGTGCTGTACAACTTTAATGCTTCTCCTGCAGCCTCATGCAACTGTGCCTTGCGGCTGTTCAGTTTATTTGTAGTCTCAGTCATTAAATAACTTTTAGGCCTTTTTGGAAACCACTGTTTTCTGTTTCAAATCAATTGAGTCCAAGCACAGGTCATGTCTCTCTAAAATGTGTGCTAAGTTAGCATCGTCACACAGACTATCCATCCTACAAGTAGTTTTGAACCCCTGTGAGATGGGTGGGGGTGTTGGGCCATAATCATGCAGCGTGGATTTAAATTTGGGTCTCCCAGTCCAGCTACTACAACACCATGCACAAGGATGTGTGTGCCTCTTGGCTTTTAATTTGGAGATGTCCGAGATCCTTTTGGTAAATGCATGGGGAATGTAACCTGATGAATGGAAGTGTTATTCTCTCCAAACCCTTTTTGCTTTGTCTTAAATAGGAGGGAACAGCCATGCTATTGGAGCACCTGGCTGGAACCTTGGCTTCCGCAATCCCTGTGAGCACACAGCTAGATATTGCAGCTCAGCATCATCTCTTCATGATGGGTCGAAATGGCAGCAACATCAAGCATATCATGCAGAGAACTGGTGCTCAGATCCATTTCCCCGATCCTAGTAATCCACAAAAGAAATCCACAGTCTACCTCCAGGGCACGATTGAGTCGGTCTGTCTTGCCAGACAGTACCTCATGGTAAATCGATTCGTATTAAGGCTGTGGAACTTACCGAGCGACAACGGTGGTGCCAAGGTGGTTCTTTGGTATTGGCAGGAGTGGTGGAAGTGTGGTTTTCACAGCAAGTACACACTTGTTAGGGAGCAGCTGCCATTCCTGGGTAGCATTCATTGATTCCCATTTGTTTCAATGAGTCAAAACTACGTAGGGAGTTCCAGAGTTCTACTTCTGATCAAGGCACCTGGACTTGGCTGCTTTTGACTGGCTGCTGATGGATTTGCATCGTTATGTGGAATCATGTAATGGAATGCTTCTACAGTAGAAAAATTGTATAAAGCACTGGCACGTTGGAGAGAAGGCTTGGCTAAGACCCTGCTACCCAATGGCTTGGTCTCTTGGGGGATTTTTGTAGATAGACCAGGAATCAAGCCCAAACACAGTTTTTCCACTTCTGTGTGGACCATGCCCGCATGTACTTGTGTGATGTGTGCATTTCTAAACACAAATTTCATTTATGCACATCATACTAGCTGTACAGATAAACATACCATGAGCATGGTCCAGGCATAGTTAAATACTCTTAATTTGCATTAACTGAAAATGGTTCTACCTCCCCCATTGAAATTGATTGAATTTAAGCATACTTCTCATGGGCTTGATCATACCCATGGCAAGTTCCCAGCTGACCCCAACCCCTTTCCCCGACCACTGGTCATTTTGCCCAGGTCTTCCCCATTCGAAAAGATGGAAATACCTCTTCTACAGCTTACTTGCTGGCTGTAAGCTGTACACTGTGCTGTGATTTGGGATGTTTTTGATCCTACCCCTTTTGCCTCTGATCCAGCGCCCTTTTGCTTTTGACCCTGCCTGCCAATGTAGCACAGCCTCAAGATCTTCTCTGAAATGCAGTTCATCCTCAGGCGGAAAGCAATTCAGCCATATTGTGAAGGGGTTCAGAGTCAAATTGCGTGGTGTTTAGCTATTAGATTTGTGCTAGGCCAAAGCGATTTCAATGCAATTTAAAAGCCTGCAAATACCTCTGTGCAAACATTTGCAAAAACCTGTGGACAGTTTCCAAGAGTAGGAGCCCAGATCAGTAAAGTTTGCATTGCACAGTGGAAACCCCAACAACTATTGGTTGGATCCAGACAAAGTCATGAATAGTATATATTTGTTAAATCAGTAAGACCTCATTGAGTCATGACTAGTGAAGTCCCACTAACTTCAGTGGGTGTGCTCTAAGGATGACTAAATCTGGAAACCACGCATTTTCTTGGGTTTTATGAAAATATGAATTTTGAAATTTGAGGTTTAAAAGTTTAGGAAAGTTGTTGAATGTTGAATTCTTCCCATAGCCTTAAAATAGCAACAGTGAGAGTTCTAGTTTACATCACAGAAACTTGTAGCATATACATCATTTTGATAGTAACTAACTTGGCCGTTCTTTCTTTCAATGCAGCGAGGGAGTACACTTATAATGGGATGGTAAGACCTGGTTCCATTTATCTATGATTTGTTTTAATATTAAAAATCCAGAGTAGAATTCAGCGGAGAGAAGAAATTAATCTAGAACCATGGTCTTTAAGGCATGCTCTTACAGAATACCTAAGCAATAATGATTAGTTACTGCACAGAAATGTCAAAAACTTAAAATGAAAGCAGAGCACTTTTTAATGCTCAGAAGAGTTACAATGTGATAAAATACAGTGAATGATGAGCAGATTGTATGCAGTGAGAGTCCCACAAGTGTCACTAAACTCTTTTTAGTCTGGAGTATGTCATGACTATTATTTATTTTTTTAAAAAAATATTTATTACTGTTCCAGCTAAAGTAATCAGTGGGGTTTAGAAGTACAACAAAACAGCAGAAGGCCAAGTAGTTAAGAGAGAGAGAGGAAAAGCAGATTAAAAAACAGAATGAACTAAAAGGTTTAAAACCTGGCACAGGAATCTTGATGCTGCAGCAAAGACATCCCTGTGGTACCTTCTCCCCCACCCATCCCATTTCAGGTATTGTAGGAACCTGAGAAAGTGTTCCTAGGTGGATTATATTCCTATAATTTTTGGCATAAGCTGGTCGAGATAGGTGTGAGATTGATGCTTAGAGGTCCCTGGCAGATGCAGGTTGTGAAGACGACTGCCCGGGTCATTTTGACACCTGAGGCAAAGGACGAGAATGCAGCCCTCTGCTTCCATATACAAAAGCGGACTGGACTGGCTAATAAACGTGCTTTCTGTACTGATGATTCAGGCCCTGTTCTCTAGATTCGTACCAGCAGAAGTTTTCAAAGGCAGCCTCATTGCCAATGCTTCAGGTCCAGCTTCAGTTTCTCAGTCCCTCATCCAATCCATTACCAGTCTCAGGCACTTGCTAAACATATCCATAGCCTCATCCGAATTCAGTGAAAAGGGAAAGTAGAACTGGATGTCATCACTGCAGCAGGACCCAAGATGACTTCACAAAGTAATTCAAGTTGTAGGTGTTGAAGTGATATACTAATAGAGGATACTTATATTATTTTAAAATCAAATGTCTGAGGGCACAACCTATGCAGCTTAGGCAGAAAAAAATCCTACAACTTCCCGCATTCCTAAACTTGTCATGCATAGGTTTGCGCTCTTATCTTACATAGATATTTTTCCCACTGTGCACCTTCTTTCACTCACAGCAATGGCCAAAAGATAGTTTGACGTGGGAGGTGCACATACTCAAAGACCATCCTCCCCAGCAGTGCAGGAATCTCAGTTTGGGGAAAAACAAAAAAGAGCAAAGGTGGCACAACTCATTGTCCCCATATCGTGGCAATCAGTCAAAGCAATTCCCCAGTGGTGTTGCAGTGGTTTTAGCATGCAATCCTTCTAAATGCTATTGCTATGAAACTTACCCACATTAATGTGACTTGTGAAACACACATGGTGAAAGACAACTGCTTTCAATAGGAAAATTGCAGAGAAAACGTGCATTAAACTTGTTCTTTGTGCAGTTGAAACATCTTAACAAGCAAGTTTCTTATATTTGCACATGCATTTAAGTTCCTACATGTGCCACAGTGGTTCTGCATTTCCTACTTGATGATACAGATCCCTTTACTTATTGAAAGTGTATTTATATCTACTTCCATTTTTCTCATTAGAGCCTTCTGTGTCACATGTGTCAGAATTAAAGCAACTGGGTTGTTTTGAGGTTTTTATGGGAAGCTTGGGTTGGCTTGCCAATCTCTTAACTGAGCCCCTTTCCAGCAAAGCTGAATGAAACTCCTTTATCTAGGACAATTGAGTCATTCTCTTTGTTTGTACAAAATACCTTGTATGATGTTATCTCTCCCTTTCAAACCTTTTTATGCTTATCATAAAAATAGCTGATGGTATTATTTTTCCTTGATGACACCTTGCAAACATCCTCTTTGAACCCAGTGACAAAGAAAATAAGAGGCAGTGGGTTCCATCTGCATCAGTCTGTCACATTCTTTTAGCACCAAAATTTGAAGAGGGAAAATATCACATTTCCTGCATGGAGAAATCATAGTTTTCACTACAAATGCACCGAGCATGTACTCCCATTGCGCCTTCTTGAATCTGTCAGTAGTATCTGAAATTGTGCCAAAACATGGGAGAGAAATCTTGTTTCTATTGATAGTAGCAAGAATTCTGCTCAGCTGTGCTCTGTACAATGCATTATGTGTTTTTTGAATTTTAATTTAAGTTGCCTGGTGCGAGAGTCACTGTATAAAAGTTTTTGTATTTAATATTTTAGGGCTGCCTTCCTCTTGTGCTGATGTTTGATATGAAGGAAGAAATCGATGTTGAGCCACAGTTTATAACCCAACTAATGGAACAGCTAGATGTCTTCATTAGTATTAAACCAAAGCCAAAACAGCCAAGCAAGGTTGGTAGAAAACTCTTATTTCATGTGAGCAAATCAAGTCTCAGTTCTTTAAGTGAGCCAGTGTAGCATCGTGGATAGAGCACTGACCTGCAGTCTGAGAGGTGCAGAGATGGTTCTGTTCCCCATTCAGCCACAAAACCCACTGGGTGACTTTGGCTCAGTTGCTGATTCTCGGTCCTCTCCCAAGGCCTGTCTGGTGTGAGGATAAGATGAGAGGAGAAGGGAGATATGTAAACCACCTCAAAGGAAAGAAGGCAGAATATAAGAAATTATATAATATAAGAGTGAGAGAGAGAGATTCAGGCCATAAATAAACCAACCAGCTCTTCGGTCAAACCTGTATGGGCTTGAAAATGAAACATGCTCTGGATTAGAAATGATATATCATGAACATGTAATTTGCTCGTGATAATTTTTCCAGACCCAGATGCCCTAAAATGTGCCAAATAGTTTACACTTTGCTATTTAAAGTAAGATGAAAATGAACCATTGAATATACCCATGGACGTTTTCTCTCTTGTGTGGTGGTGGGGTGGTTATGTACCATTGGGTCATCTCCAGCTTATGGCAACTCTGTGAATGGAAGCCCTCCAGAATGTCCTGTCCATGACAGCTCCATTCAGCTCTTCCAAGTGCAAGGCTGCGGCTTCCTTTGCGGATTCAGTCCATCTCCTATTTGGTCTTTCTCTTGTCTTCTGCCTTCATCTACCCTCTTCCCCCTTCATCTCCATGATGCAAGAAGGTGCCGGCGCGTCTTGTCTTCCTTTTGCATGAAGAAGCAGGGCTCACTTGGGGCATGGGGAAGAAGAAGCATAACTGACTCCTGCTTCTGGGCTTCATGTGAATTGGGCAGCAAGAGGGAGGAAATATGTATTTGCACCGCTCCCTCATTTGCATCAAATGTGCATCTCCCCAAGCAGGCTGTAGCACCTTTCTTGGTGATATGCCTTGTGATGGGGCACTTTGAATTATTAGGATTTAAAATGAGGTGGTTCATGTAGATTGGGGTTCTGCACAGCTTAAGATGGCTTTGACATCTGCGACCCTCACAAATGGATCTGTGAAACCAGAGGAGGAGCATTTGATAGGAACTAGCACTTAAACATAGCAACACACATATGTAATCAGCACTGGGCAATATTCGTTCCCTTATCTTGATTTTAAGTCACAGTGTTAAACAATGCACCTCCTGTTTTACTTGAACTGTCTTCATCAGGCTATATTTTAGTTCCATTGTCTGCATAAAGAACAAAATGCTTAGTATTTATTTTCTTGATACCGCAGTAAAGCTTTAACGATAAAGACCTTCAAGGAAAGTAAGAACGTGACTGGTAATTCATATGAATGAGTAGATACATGGAAACCCAAACAAAGAAGACAACATGGCCACATGTTTTTAAAATTTTTCTTTTAGCAAAATCATTGTTATGAAAAAAACACATTCCAGTTTCGCATATGGTGGTTATTCCAGGGGTGAGATGCAGTTGACAGGGGAAGGGAACAAAGCCAGTTGTTACAGGAATGTTTATTCTGCAGCCTGGCTCCAAAATGACAGCCCATGGTTAGCAAGGAGGTAGTGCTGTGCCTAACCCAAGCTGCGTGGTCCTGATACAACTTCTATGTGGCATGTTGTAAGTGAAGAAGGTCTATGGAGACATGGCAAATTCTGTTTATTTAGCACATGGTGATGGGACGATCAGCCAGGAGTCTAACTTGCTAATACAGAGTAGATATTTGGCTGCCTACAATTGCTAGTTCATTCGTTTTGTACCCACACACTTATCCAGTGTGCACCGCAGGGGGCAAGCTAGCTCCACACACATGCAGACCGGCTGGTGTTTGGGTTGTTGGCTCATCCAGGCTTCTTCTGCTGATTGCACTTCACATCTGGGCAGGTTTAGCACTGGCTTTCACTCTTCTGACAAACAGAGCCAGCTTTTCTCACCAGTGGTACCCATTTATCAACTTGCAGTATTACATGCTTTTATACTGCTGAATGGGCAGAAGCTAGAGGCGAATGAAGGAGGATCACTCCATCCCACGGTGCTGGGCTTGAACCAGTGGAGTGTCGCCATTTCTGGTTGGCACATCCAGCATCGTTAAACTGCTACGCCACCATAGTATGTCCCTCCTTCTCAAGGGAAAGTGACAGTACCAAAGGATGCATTAAGTCTGCTCTAGGGGTCTAGGGCTCAGGCATTCCTAGTTTGCTAGAGGCTTGGAGACCAGTTCATACAACCTGCTTATACATTCTTATTCAAGCTCATGGTAGCTTTCTTTGCTGGTTTGAAGTGAATGTACACATAGTGAAGAGTCGGTCCAAAGGGTACAATATAGCCTGAAATCCTGCTTTGCCTTGCCAAACAATGCTTCCAGGTGGTTATTGTGAGGAAGGAAAACTGTTTCTGATCACATCAGTGGAGCAATTAATTTAATTCACCTTAGCAAGAGAACAGTTCCGTCACTTGGTTTTGCAATCCAGGCTGCCTTCAAAATGGCAACCAACACCAAAAGGCTGCTGGCCAAAAGGGGTGTTTTGGGGGATTGCCTCCTTAGTCCCCACCCACCCACCTACAGAAGCACCTGTGAGCCAAATGTAGACCTTTTGGAAAGTCAAGTTGCAACCGTTGTGGGGAGTGGAAGAAGCAATTCCTTGCTTGTCCCCATGTGCTGCTTCAGCCCTAGACGCTCCCGGGGAAAGGCTGGGCACCGACTAGCCCCTGGGCTAGAGTGGCAAGCCTTTCATGCTTGTTTTTTGAGTGGCCCATAGCTGCCTTTGTTGTGTGGCTTCAGCAGTGCCTTTTTTGTAAGAAAAAGGGTGCCGGAATTCATGAAATTATTTACCTTTTGCACATAGTCAATCACTGTACACACTCCCACACACGTCAGTTGGGTAACGAAACATAACAGTTGCCTCCTGCAGTAAGCACTCAGCGCATGACCACACAACTAATCACAAGCTGAGCAGCGTTATCACAACCAGCACAGACAAAGTACGCATGCATCGGATTTGACACACAAGCAGCCTGCATGCACTGTTTGAATTATTTTGCTGCTGACCTGCTATGCTCGACAGGGTGCTTCAAATCCACATGGACCAAACTTCAAATTTTCAAAAGTTCCTTTTAAAACTTGGGAAATCTGTCAAAAAAAGGTGCCGGAACTGTGTTCCAGTGCGTTCTATGACAAAAAAACCACTGGGCTTCAGGCAACAGAACACACTGCTCTGAGCTAGGTAGCCCCTCCAAAAAGCTACAGCCAACTGGGGTGGTTGATGAAGTGGGAAATGGCAGCAGTGGGTACAACATGTGGGATTCAGAACCCCTGGACTTGAAAATAGGGATTAAAGATAGTATGTGTAGTCTGTGGTGAATGAAAGGAAAGAAGGCAGTTGGTTAATTTTCCCCAGACCTTGCTTTGTGAATGAGCAATAGCCAGAAAAGAAGAAAATGTAAAATCTTGGATAGTGGAGTGCAGGCTTGTAGGGTTGGCAGTTCTTCAGTTTCCACTGTACATTAAAAATGCTAGATATTTAGTTACCTACTTTGATTCTAAATAATATTTACATGAAAAGAGTGTGTGGGAGGGTGTTTAAATTCAAGTTTAATTATTTGAAGTATTACAAAACAAACTTTCTTTCTACAGCTGTCTATTTTACCTTGCAACTGTGGGGATAAACAAGATGCAATTTAGTATTCCTGCAAGCTACAAGTCTGTTTTAGAAAATCCCAAAAGTTATGGGAGGCCTGCTAATTTGGGATCCCAGTGTGCTGTTTTTGTTGATGTCCGAGTATAAGTTGGGTTTACAAATAGGCTTGTAAACAATTCCTCTTATTGCTGCCCCTTGCCCAGAATTGTTTGAATAGAACAATTGTTTGCCCAGAATAATATGTTAACATTTTCATGATTGTGTTTCCCTTTTGCAGTCTGTAATTGTAAAAAGCGTCGAGCGGAATGCCTTAAACATGTATGAGGCACGGAAATGTCTCCTGGGCCTTGAGAGCAGTGGAGTCGCCATAGCAACAGCCCCATCTACCGTCTCATGTCCTGTTGGACTTTCATGTCCTGGCTTGGATATCCTATCCTCCACTGGGTTGGGACTCACTGGACTTGGTACAATCCATAATACTGTTAAGCATATCTTGCAACTTCATCTTATGAGCTGAACTATAAGCAGTGTGTGTTAGACTTGCATCTGAATTGGGGAAATGGAAAAAATTAAGTCTAACTTAGATATCTAAAAGGGGATGTGAAATGAGGGTTTGGGGGCATGTTAAAAGCTCTCAGCAGTGACGGAGCAGCTGTAATAATAGTTATAAAATGTAAAGGAAAAGATCCCTGATTAAAACACACAGTGCATTCGCGACTAGTTTCCAGATTAGTCTGTGGAACACATATGCATGCACACACATGCGCCTGCGCGCACACACACGCAATGTCACTGGCTTGGAAACAGATGGGATGAAGAAAAGCTGTGGTGCTACATGCCCGGTTAGCGACAGCATCCATCTCGGAGGTTTTGGGGTAGGCCCCATTTAAAAAATGCATGTCCTCCAATCTAACATTAAAGCAAGAATCCGATGAATTGGTTCTGTTTAATTTCTGTACAAGCATTTGATCCCTTGACTTTTTTTCCCTTTTTGCAGGGCTCTTGGGTCCAACTGCCTTATCTGTAAACACATCCACTACTCCAAATTCCCTTTTAAATGCTCTTAATAGTTCTGTGAGTCCTTTGCAGAGCCCAAGTTCAGGTGCACCCAGCCCAACCTTGTGGGCCTCGTCAATTGCTAATGCAAGTGCTACAGGTCAGTAAAAGGCATATTTCATATTCTGGGGTTTAAAAAAACTGTATGAACCATTAACCGTAAAACATATTTACATATTTTAATTGAAGTGTCACAGCCTAATGATGCTAAGTATCCTGAAGGATGATAGCATTGAAATAATGCATACAGCTCCAAGCCACTTCTATGTAAATACTTTTGTTACGATGGAATATCCATTACTCGCTTGCTGATTCTCGGCATGTGCCCTGTTGTGGCACTGCTGTCATTGAAGAAGAGCGTATATTATCTAGGTACACCGTGCCAGCTTCAGCACTGGGCATTTCCAGTGGCTGGGCTGAGAAAGACCTCTGTGAAGATGTGCTGTGGGTCAGAGAAAGCAACCTTGGTTTTCACTGGTCTGGTCACCCTCATTGCATCATCCCTTACCATTGCTCTTAGATTTACTTGAAATGGGACCATCAGCATAGCCTATTTTGTCCAGATTGCAAATTTCTCAGCATTTTAGGTGTTTTATCTGTGCAAGTAAAGGATTATATTGACCTGGAAGATCTCAAATTTTCTTACAGGTTTTCCTGCTATTCCTCACCTGATGATGCCGTCTACGGCCCAAGCCACTTTAACCAGCATACTTCTCTCCGGAGTGCCAAACTACAGTCAAAACACACCATCTCCCCCTCCTGGCTTAACCCCAGTTGACATCCATGTTAATGGCATGCAAGCGGAAAACAAGAAAAACCCAGCTTCTTTAAATGGTCACGTAAAGGTAATCAAAACTAAGTATGCTAATTAGAAAATAAATCACTGAGTTTAGTTTTCTTTTGAGTGAATATACCTAGCGTTTTGAATCATGACTTTTAGGTTAATATTGAGGTATTTTAAACTTTCAATCCATGGTGGCACCCCACTTATGGAACAATCTGCTACTGGAGGTTCATCAGACACCTACCTTGTTGACTTTTAGGTGCCTGCCAAAAACTCTTCTGGTGCACCTTTAGCACCGTCTAGACTGTTTACTTATGTTAATTTATGGCTTTTTAATTTAATTATGTTTGTTGCGATTTTAGCCCATTTATTAGGATATTTTAATCATATTTTCTCAATATCACTTATCAATTTTTAATTGTAATTTCCCAAGGAGCATAATGCTAACGGGCAGCTTTTAAACAAACCAAATAAATAAATAAATAAAATAAACTTAGTATAAAATCTGCTGACTTGATGACTTACACACTTTTCCAAAAGCCACAACTGGTTGTAAAATAGGATGTGGTGAAGCCAGTTCAGGAGAGGTGCATTTTGTGCTCATACAGGCTGCGTTCTTACATAATGCTGAACTGCAGGTAGTTAGAAATGGAAATGAAAGCTTCCAGTTTCCTCTCAGCTGCACCAGAAGGAGAGCAGGGAAGCTCTAAGGTTTATTCACATGGTATTAAAACATAATTTAGCATTGCATCGAAACCCATTTTAAGTTCATCCCAGCTAAATATTTAACTGATTCTGATGGAACTAAAATCATACCGAATTTAGGGTTGGGTTGTTTGTATTGAGGAAAATGTTTGGCTTGTAAGTTTCACAAGAGCATGACTGCTGTATCCCATCTTCGTTGTAACGTTCTTCCCACTTGGCTTCTACCATATCTCTGTATCTCAAATTGTCGGAAATACAATGTTTGTCCAAGTTTTCTTTCCTTTTGCTATCTTTCTCATTTTGTGAGTTCAGCCATCTGGCAGAAGGAAAATGTCCCACAGTGACAAACTGAGCTCACATTGTTGGAAGAAGACCAGAGTAGATGGCTTCTGTGGGCTATGATCAAAGTCTTACATTGATTAAAGTCATACTTAAAGATTCCGTTCAGTTAATCTCTCCTTGACTGCATAGGAAACTGGCACAAACTTGTTCATTGCAAGATGGTGAGTCAGCCATGGAGTGAGGCATTCGGTGGCTTCCTTCTGCTGGGCCTATAAAAGTCATTGGCTGCAGTCAGCAAGAGGGTTGGCGAAGGCCAGCTTTGGGGCAGCAGGGGCAGAGCGAAGCCCAGGCCTTGTGGTGCCTGAGTACCGATGACGCTGTTCGATCCTCTGGGAGAACAGAGCAATACTGCGCTCTTGGATAATGTGTTTCAAGGCAAACACTGCCCACACTGGGTGGTCTGGCAGCCATTCACAGCCATCCCATAGGGAATGTAGGTTTCTGTCCTCTGTGGACTCATCCTGACTTCCATGCCCCTCACCATGCATCCTAGGAAACCTTTCGCGAGTCTGAAATGGGCTATGTAGAGCTATAGAACTAGAGTTCGTGTAGAACTATATTTTTGGTTCTTAATGGAACTTTCCCGTAAAATAGTTTCCCAATTTACGATGATGATGAAACATGCTTGTTACTGTTCCAGACCTCAGCTATGAACTATACTGCACTATCGGCCGCGGCACTTGGTGAAAATGTGTTAGTTCCAAACCACAGCGATCCATCCAGGCAGACAAGTAGCCATAACACCTCTGACCAAGTGGCCACCAAGTCGAATGCTGGCGAAGGTATGATCCAAATATGGATTGCGTTTTCTGCAGTTACATTATCCCAACACTGTAAAGGGACACTGCTTGCTGCCCTTAGGATAAGCTTATGGTTTAATGGGTGATGCGTCATTCTAAATGGCTTTCAGTAAACTCTAAAGGACCAGGTGGAGTTTCTGAAGTTAAGAAGAGGATGCCTGCTTAAACAGGACTCCCAAGTCATATTTTGCTAAACATTAGAGAAGTGCCCAAAATTAGATTGCTAAGCAAAGGAGTCCATTGCTGGTCATCTCATGAAGGAGCTCCTCAGCAGCTTGGCTCAGAACAACAAACTATCGCCATTGTTAGAAGCATGAATCTTCAGCGTTCATGCGTTCCCCTTTAGCAGGCAAAGGGAGGAGTTGTAATGGTTCTCTACTGGGGTGCGGCAATCAAAGTTTTGTGCCAGGCTGACCCAAATTCTGCATCAAGAAAAGGTGAAGTTTGCATCTCTGTACTAGGCAAGTTTATATGTATTATTATGAACAGTAATAGCATTTGCAGAAGAAAAGTACTGCTGTATAGTGGAACTCACAAGGGTGGTTGCCAGGTATTGTGTTTAAATGATCTCTTTTGGTAAGTCAACTTAATCAAGCCAAAACTACACTAAAAAAAGAAAAGAAAGTGAAATGCTGGGTTCTGGAGTATGTTGCTAGAACATTTTTCTCCAAACTGCTGGAAATGTTCCTCAGAATCCCACCTATTTTACCAAGGATGGCTCATAAGTTGCCAGGCTAACCAATGCTAACAAGGTGTTGGTGCTGGTGGTGATTGTTGCAAATGAAGCACACCTCTGCATGTATTATGGATTTCTATACTTCCATGGTGTGGCTTCCTGCTGCCCTGGCTGGAGCTAGTATATGAATGACTCAACATTGTTTTTTCAAGTCTTTACCGTATGCTAACGTTTCATGGCATTGGAACTGTGGAAAGATCTCAGTGCTGATACGGTCCACCCTTATCGTCGTAGCATTTCGGCTTCACTTGAATTATCCCTGGCAGAAACCCATTTCTTGCAAGCCCTGTTTCACTGCTCTTTTTTCTTTGTAGGTTGTAATGATGCTTTTGTGGAAGTGGGCATGCCAAGAAGTCCTTCACATTCAGCGAATGCCAGTGATCTCAAACAAATGACGAGCTCCTCCAAACAATCCTGTGCAAAGAGGCAGACTGTGGAACTCTTGCAAGGCACCAAAAATTCTCACTTGCAGTACGTTGCATTGCTACATATACGAATGTATAAAATAATACAAGCACTATGAGGCAGCAACATTTTAACATGCCCTCTAGAGGAGGGTGAATTGTTCTGCAAGAATCTTATTTGTAAGGAGTTCTCAAATTTCAAATATGTATGGGATAAAACAGCCATAACTATGTTACTCCCTTGACAATCATATGCACTTAACTTGGACAGAAGTATTATTTATGCACTAATAACACTTAACAAACATTAAGTATTATACAGTACTTTCTTTGTTATCTAGTTGCAGTGATTACATTGCAATCAGTAGATCGGTGCTGCTGTTCTCCCTATGTAGTTGGGGTTGGCCGGGAGAAAACTATTTAGAAAAACCTGTCTAGTGTGTAGTGAAACCTAAATTGGGAATTTTCTGATTTATAACTAGTTCTGTGTAGAAAATCCGTAATGTTCCAAGCCTGCCTCTGTCAAGGGTTCAGCTATTTTTATCGCTAACATGACTTTATTGCCTTAGAGATGGCTATTTCCTATACCTGTCCAGCAAGGTATGGGGGAGAGAGACTGTATAGGATGTGGCTGATTTCACACTATTGATTCCAGGGGAGGTACTGACATGGGAGGTAACATGGTCAAATAAAAACCATTGATTGCAAAGCTCAAGGTTTGCCTGCCAGTATTCACATTGGTCCTCCTATCCCAGCACAGGCAGTCAAGCAAATCCGAAGTGAGCTTGGAAATGAACTTGGTCTCACGTCGTGCTTCAGAGGTTGAAATCAGATTGTAAAATTTGGGAATGCAGCAGGATGAATAGAAAGGAGATGATCTTACACTTGGCTTAAAGTGTCCCTCAGTGACACATGGGATTAGGGTAACCTCAGCCAACTACGGGGACTGCAGGTGGCACAGTGGTTTAAACCGCTGTGCTGCTGGGCTGGTAGATCGAAAGGTCGCCGGTTCGAATCTGCACAATGGGGTGAGTTCCCGTTGCTCCGCCCCACCTCCTGCCAACCTTGCAGTTCGAAAACATGCAAATGCAGGTAGATAAAAAGGTATCACTTCAATGGGCAGGTAACAGCATTCCATGCACTTCGGTGTTTAGCCATGCCGGCCACATGACCACGGAGACTGTCTGTGGACAAACGCTAGCTCCCTCGGCTAGGAAACAGAGATGAGCACCACCCCCTAGAGTCAGGCATGACTGGATGTAATGTCAAGGGGAAACCTTTACCTTTACAGCCAACTACATTTTAGTTTAAGATTAGAAACTTTTTATGAATATTAAATGGCTTGGGACCCTCCCATATAAGGGACCGTCAATCTTGTTAGGAATGCTTGGCGGCCACCAGCATCCATTTGACAGGACCGTGTGAAAAGGCTTCCACCCATGTAGCACCAAACTGAAATGTGCTGCCTTGAGAACCACGCTTGGCCCCTGCTTCCTTGGCTTTTTGAAAGGTTATGCAGGGCCATCTTTTCAATTTAGCCTTTCAGCTGTTTCAGGGTTGTCATTGTAATGTCTGGCTGTTCTTAATGTTCTCACTTGTGTTGTCTTAAGATGTTACTGGTTAAAATTGCTGTGTGCTGACTTTATTTAGCAAATAGAATAATAGTACAGTTGGAAAAGGCCTGTATAGCCATCAAGTCTACCCCACCTCCTGCTTCCCCATGTGGTCACCCATCCAGCCACAGGTCCTTGCAGTTCTGGCTTAGCAAAGGACACCTGCCATGCTGGTTTGATATACAGCTATGCAAGCCAGCAAATAGGGCAGTAAATGAGAGTTGGTAATTAAATTATGCATAAGGATGAAGTTCACTTTTATCTGTCTATTGCATTTTTTACCACTAGGCTAAAAAATTAAACTCTCTCTGCTCCATAAAATGGCATGTGATGTTTCTCAATAATATTTAGATGTTCTAGATACATTTGTTTACCTAAGAGAGGAAATGTTGATTTCTTGGGTTAAGCCAAGCACCGCATGGTTTAATCTGCAATTTTTGAGCTATTGGTGACAACAGAGGCTAAAGCAAACATTCTCAGACTGCCTGCTCTGTCATCTGCTTTAAGACTGCGCACCTAACCTGTCTTATCCTGAATAGCCCATTAGCCTATACCCTATAACACACAGAAAAGCTGTACAGCCCCCATCTGTGATAGATGCTTGGAAAACAGATCCCATCCCTTGACCAAAAAACCCTTCTTGTTCCGACAGCACCACGGAGAGATTGCTGTCAGATTCGGAACTGAGTGCCTCGGAGAACCCTGTGGCTGACAAGAAGGCCCCTGGAAGCGAACGAGCAGCTGAAAGGGCAGCTGCAGCCCAGCAGAACTCCGAAAGAGCTCGCCTTGCCCCACAGTCGTCTTACGGGAATATGCAGGTACCGAGCATGAGGCTGGAAAAATTTAATATCCAGTAAAGGTGAAAACCAGAAGTGGCTAGTTGGTAGCATATGAACCAGAGCTGGAATTAGCCCTCCCCAAATTTGTGTCTGCAGATTTTTCCGACAAGACAAGAGGAACTTGTTTGCAAAATGCCCGAATTTGAAAAGCTGCCCTTCATGTAATACCTGCCCGGATTCTGTATGCAAGAGAAATGGTGAAGCTCTCAATTCTAGCAGACTCGTCTTGGTTAGAGTGCCAGGTTGTTGGCTAGTGGTCCATATTTCTGGGTCCTGGACCACTGCCAGGAAAACAGGACCTCTTCCCCAAAAATGCAGATATTAGCCATTCCTGCGATGTGCTTTTCTCTATAGCATTGAGTGTCTTTCTAGAAATAGCTAGTAATAATGGGCTGGATCCAGGCTAGTGAATTAAAATGTAAGGGCATGAGTCATGAGTAGCTTGTCCCACTTGTTACGAGTGAGACTCATACAGTGAGACTAAAGCATAGCTAACCTAAGCTGCATGGAACTCCATGACTAGCTTCAGGTTCTCAATTTTTGCGCTGTTTCCTTTAGCTATCAGATAGCTTTTCAAGCGTCTGCAAATGCACGACAGTTAAGTGTCTAGAATATCTCTCCCCAGGGTTACAATCTGTTAAGGTAAGCCTAGTGGAAATTTAGAGCACAGCCAACTTTCCTCAGTGTAAATCACTGGAAGTACCTCAAGAAAAATAATAGAATCAGTGTTAACCTACACGTTATTTAGGCACATGGTAAATCAAAAACTCTGTCAGCATTCCTGGAACAGACCACAGTAGTCTTCAAATGGTATCAGTACAAAGAAGGTGGAAGTTTTAAGCATTTCTGTTCTAGTGGAAACGGTCATCTAAAACAATTAAATACTTTGGAAAAGGGGTTGTGTTTGAAAACTGGATCGTGGATATTCCTAAACCTTTACTCAAAGGTATTTAGGGCCCTAATTAGCTCGTTTTAAATGCAAGTCTTAAGTATATCAAATGTTCATTGGTCTGCTGGCACATTGTTGTTGAGTGCTTTGTGTTCCTCCTAGACAAACTTATGGACCATGATCAAAATCTTTGTGGCTTGGAGAGCAAAATCTTGGCATGACATTTAGTGAGAGCAGTGATTAAACTGCCTTCTGTGTGTTTCATTTTTAGGCATTTGACTATGAACAGAAGAAGCTATTAGCAACCAAAGGTATGTGGACAACTGTGACTTGTAACATATATCTGTTTATTAGTGGAGCAATGAAAGGATTTCTGCTTCTCTCCACTCTTATTCCCTGCCGCCCTGAGATTTGGCTGTGACTAAAACGGAGAAACTGTATCTTAGACAACAAGTTTTGCAAGCGAAGCTTCTTTGTGTAGAAGACTCTGTAGCTGCTATTATATTTTGTGTAAGGGAACAGTGTAAACTTGAAACCTGTCAGCCTATGACACTATTCTTGGGGCAGGTTGTTGGAATACGTAACATACTAGTTCCAGTTCTACTACTGTACATTTTCAAAAAGCATAGTCTTTCTAGACTACTGTGGATGATTTCCTCCATGTGTGGAACTTTGATGGGAGAGCCGGTCACACGCACACACTGGATCAGGCACCTTGCTTATCATGATTTATTTATTTATTTATTAGATTTCTAACCTACCCTGCTAGCTCCCTGGGTGGGTTATAACCATAAAACCATACAAAACTGTATAAAGCAATACAAACACAGCAAGCATTAAAATGACAATAAAACAACAATAAAATGTACCCAGTGGATTTCAGAAAAGATCTGTTATAACAGCATTAAAAACCAGTTTAATTGTTTAATTGAAAAGAATGCAAAGATGGCACCAGGCAAGCCTCTCTGGGGAGCTCATTCCAAAGTCGGGGTGCCACTCCTGAAGAGGCTCTTCTTAACTGGAAGGCAGCCCAGGATTTGCCCTACGCTTCCCCACATACCTTGCTATTCCACACAAGGAATTACAACTGCCATGAGTGGTGTATTCATACATCAATACACACATGTGACTATTTCTCATCTCAAATATAGTGGGAAAGATCACAGAAATTATAGGCAGACCAGTGAGACCAGCAACAAAAGATTGCCCTGTAGTAGGATATCAACCAGCCAGGCATGATCTCCTCCAGGATACACCATTGCATATAAATATCCCTCAGATTTTGATGTCTTTTTCTATTGCTTGACAACACTCCATGGTTGGTCCCCGTTTGGCTGTTTTCATAGGCTTGTCCTGGGTTTTTAAAAGCATTTTTGTGCTCACACAATAATCATCACTTCCTTTGTGCCATTAGTTCTACTTTTCATCCCTATTTCTTGCTTTCTTTTTCTCTCAGTCATCTGGCACTCTTTATAGTTTGACTCCAACTCCTGTGCTGAGCAGCCCACATTTCTGCATATGCCCAGCCCCCACAATACCTTATGTGTGTCTCACCTCATGTACAGAACCCCAAGATGAGAGGTGATGCACCCCTTGCAGAGTTGGAGTCAACTGGATTTTCCTTTTATGCAAAGGAAAGCAAAAGTTGTTTTCTAGATTTCTCTGAACTTATTCCATAAGGAGTTTTGTCTAAAGGATGTTTTTATCTAAAAACAATCAAGATGAATGCTTATAAACACATGTTACTTTTTCTCTTTATAAACACATGTTTCTTCTCTGTGTTAAGCTATGCTAAAAAAGCCAGTTGTTACGGAAGTGAGAACTCCAACGAACACTTGGAGTGGGCTTGGCTTCTCCAAATCAATGCCAGCTGAAACCATTAAGGAATTAAGAAGAGCTAACCACGTATCCTACAAACCATCTATGTCAACAACTTACGAGGTAACTGCATTGTGACTTTTGCAACATGGTTTTCATGTGCAAGGAATGGGAGCTACTTGCCCGAGACCCAAATTTGTGGCTGAGAATTTCAAGCTCTCTTAAGGGTATCAAAGGAGATGCAGTGTGGCATATTCCATAACTCTTGTGTACTTAACTCTTAGTTATACACACAACTATGCTAGACAAGTCAAAACAGCCTTCGAAGCTATAACTCTGTGCCCCAGTAAAGATGCTGGTATTCTCTGGTGTTTTGGGATCAAATGTCTAATAGGAAAAGTCTTGGGGGATGAGTAAATGAGAACATTCATTCAGTTCCTTTGCTTGTCTTTTTAGAATCATATAACTTGTATTCCTTTTGCAGCATCCCATCTCATAAGAGTTCTTTAAGCATGTCAATAAGCCTCTGGACAGAGGTGCTAGACATTTTACTTGTACTTCCAGAAGGCTTTTGACAAAGTCCCTCACCAAAGGTTCCTGAGCAAACTTAGCTGTCATGGATTAAAGTGGGGAGCGGGGAGCTTTTATGTATCAGTAACTGGTTAAAGAACAGAAAGGAGAAAGTGGGAATAAATAGTAATTTCTCCCAATGGAGAGAAGTAGCCAGTGGAATCTGCCAGGGTTTCATGGTAAGACCAATGCTTTTCTGCCTGTTCATAAACGATCCGTGACGTAGCCAAGTTCAATGTCACCAAAATATTTAGGATGTTCAAGAAGGCTTGTGAGGCACTCCAAAGGGATCCCTCCAATCTGGAAGAATGGGCATCAAGATGGCAAACGCGGGTAATTGTAAGCAATCATAAAGTAATGCATGTTGGGGCAGAGAATCCCAACTTCAAGTATAGGCTGGTGGGAGCTGAGCTAGCAGCGCCTGAAGGAGAAAGGGATCGTGGTGGTGCTGTGGACCATTTTATGAAGCTGTTGGCCGAGTGCTCACCTGCTGAGAAAAAAGCAGGCTCTGTGCTATGCATTATGAGGAGCAGAAGTGAAAAGAGAACCATCAAATCATGCTCGCCTTATGCAAACTTGGGTGCACCCACCATGAGAATATTGTGTACAGTTCTGATCAGCATGCCTGAGAAAGGGCATAACTGAGTCGGGCAAGTACAATGAAAGACAACAAGAATGATCCAGGGGTTGAAGCAAATCCCCCCTGTGAGGAGTAGGTGCAACGACGGGAATTGTTTAGCTTAGAGAAAAGGTGAGTAAGAGGAGACATGGCAGAGGTGTTTGAAATAATGCAGTGTATTAAGAAAGAGGAAAAGGAGACTTTTCTCCCTCGCTCATAATAGTATAACCCAGGCACATCCCCTGAAGCTGATTGGTGGAAGATTTAGGACAGAAAAAAGGAAGGGTGCTATCTCAACACATGATTAGACTGCGGAATTCACTGCCACAGGAAGTAATGATGGCCACCAGGTTGGATGGTCTTAAAAGAGGACTGGACAAATCTGAGGAGGAGGCCGGCGGTGGCGGCGGCAGCCCTCTCTAGTTACCAGCCTTGCTGGCTATGTGCTGCTGCCTTTACCAGAGGCAGCATGCCTGCGTTCAGAAGGAGCTTGGGCGGGGGAACACTGTTATCCATTCTGCTTGAGGGTTCCTGGAGGGAGCTGCATTGCCACCATGTGAATGACGTGTTGAACTGGATGGACCATTGATCTGATCCAGCACAGCTCTCCTTTTGTTCTTAGCGTCTCTCCTTTGTCCCTTGCTGTGAAGGACCAGCTCCTGTGAGTAATAGAGCTGTAGAAATAGCGCCACAAATCCATCTGGGTTGGTCTGGAAGTGAGGATGGAGGAGAATGGTTTCTCCTGTAGTGGTGGAGCAGTGGCAGGATGCGAAACTGCCGACAGGATGATGTGTGTTCCTTTCATTTATAGAAAACAGTTAAGATTATTAAAAACCTGGCGCAAGTTGCAAATTCCTAGGAATTCCATCTCTATTGCCAAGTCAGCATATTGTATGAAACGGGATACCACCTTTCTATAAAGAGTCAGCATGTCGTTTGGATGAGATACAGATGATAAAGTGTATTTTCTTTACAAACAGGTTTAAGTGTCTGTACATTATTCCACCTATATATGTTTACCAGTTATGCCGTCCAGTATGTTTTGCATTATCTCCCAGCCATGTTACTCTTGTCTCCTTTGCTTAGGAGTTTATTAGGAAACTAAAAATGTTTTCTGCATCTGAGTCACTTGGCTGCAGCCCAGCAACAAACCACAGCCTGCTTGCTTTGCTCTATAAACGGTTTCTTCAGAGTCTCCGGCACTCATTGTTTTTGCTGTGCTTGAGACATGTGGGAAAAAATAAAAACCATGGATCCCTTTGTTTTCCCGCTTACAGGGTTGTTTTCAGACCTTCCACTGGTATTAGCAAACACTCCCATCACAGTACTTGGACATCCTTAATGTGAAAATGACTAGGCAGGCCTCACCAGTAAGCTGACAGAGCCTTGTAGCTGTGATCGCCAAGCTGCCAGTGGGTGGTGGGGACAGAAAAGCGTCAGTAGATGGAGGTTAGGGAGATCCCAGTTAAGTCTGACCAAACCGAGTCACCATTCCAATGGTCAGGCCTCATTTCCTTTCTGAAAAAGAGCTTTGCAAAACATTCTGCTACAAGTTTATTTCTGAAGCAGTCAGTTGAGGGCCTTTCCTTAACACCAGCATTTTTGAGACAGCTCTTGAGAAATCATTTGCTTAAGTAGCCACACTGAGGACAGTCACTGGCATTATGTCTTGACTGTACATTTCACTTGCTGATATAAAGTGCAGCTTTACTGCAGATGAGTGACAATTTTAATAGCCTTTTCAAAGTTGGCCAATATATGCAAATACTTTGAACTCAGTTTAAAAACCCCCTACAGTCTGCTGTGCCTTTAAATCAAGGATGGGCAGCTTGTGTCCCTGAAGATATTTTGGCTTACGGCTTCCATCCTCCCTTGCCACTGGCTGTGCTGGCTAGTGTTCATGAGATATGGGCAAAACGTTTGGAGGGCCATAAGCTATCCACCCTTACATTAAATCCATGCTCACTGTTGACTGTTGTAGGTTGTATTGTGCTTACTTTGGAAAAGGGTAAAGGTGACACTGTAATTCTGATTATTTTTCTCTACAGGGCTGCATTTTAAAATGTAAGCAATGGTTCAGTGCTACCTCTGCCCAGGAGTTTCTGTTTTTATAACAGACTCAATGGGTTCATAGCTGCACTAAGGGCACTAGTGGGGCATGGTGTTAAGAGAAACTTTTCTTAAAAGGCAAATAGCAGCTATTGAAGGCATGAGTAAGAATTAGGGTTACAGTGGCAGGTACAGGAGGTATCTTAGCCCTCTCTCCCTCTGCTGTGGTTCTGATAAACGCTGATCCTCTGAAGCTGCTGGTATTGTATAATAAGAAAAATTGCCCTGGAAAATAAGTCCCCTTGGCACCAGTTACTGAGTTTTTAAAAGCAGCTCCAATGTTCAGTAGTGTTTTGCATTCATGAATATATTCACATTATTTCAATTTGGTCTGGAGCCCTGGTGGAAGCTGTTTCCTTCTTTGTCTTCCATCTGCTAGTGTCTTGTTACCGGTTCCTTTAAACAGTTGGGTAGGCTGTGTGATTTTTCTTAACTAGTGTTGATGAATCATTGACTACATTATATGGATGGCTGTAGCCAGCTGAATTAAATGGTGCAGAGAGCAATTCAGGCCAGACCAATTAAAAACAAGGGTTGCCCCGAGAAACAGCAGTGTCCATCAAGGGACAAAAGGGCACTAACCAGTATTAAATTGCCATACGGTGGTTGGAGCGCCTCCGGTAATTTGCATGCTGCAGTAGATATGCTAATTTTGAAATACTGAATTGAGAAAATAGTCTGCCTAGCTCACATTTATTGCATAAACTAGGCAATAAATGTACTTATGTAGCAGACTACAGCTGGAGTTGCTCTAGGATTATGTCGGGTCACCTTTTTAAGCAAACCAGCCTGATTCACATTTCCCAGACAAATACGTGGATTGGAATGTGGTTATCCTTCAGTTTTCACACTTCAGCTCTTTGATTGTATAAAGGATGGTGACATCTTTTTAAAGAACATGGGATGTATTGAAAGGTGCAGCATGTCCTGTAGTCTGAAGTGGGATTATCCAGGAATTCCTGTATGCCTTCCGATTCACCCACATCTCTCTTTCTATAGTGAGTACCAGTCTATATGAAAGGGTTCTCTCTTGTAAAGACAGAGGTCACTACAGGATAGTTCATCTTAAGGGTGAAAGGACAAGGAAGGCTTCCCCTGGTTTTCACATTGAGCTGATTCCGTCTCTTTTCCTGGCAGGGCTCTTCAATGTCTCTCTCTCGGTCCAACAGCCGGGAACACCTGAGAAGTAGTAGCGACTCGGATAACTGGAGAGATCACAATGGCATCGGTCCGACAGGTCCGAGTGACTTTGTTTCGTCCATTGGCAGCCCTAAGCGGAAACAAAAAACAAGTAATGATTCGATACAGGGGTCTTTGTTTGCTAATTATTGAGTATATTTATATCCCACCTTGTTTTCTTTCAAGGAAATCAAGGTGGCTTCAGTAATCCTCAATGCTGTCCTCACAAAAGCAGCCCCGAGAGGTTTACTGGGCTGAAAGTTTGTGACTGGCCCAAAGTCACCAAGTGAGCTCCATGGCAGAGCCAAGATTAAACCCTGGAGCTCCCTGATCCTCAGTCCAGCACTGTAAACCTTATGCTCTCTCGTGCTTGGGCATAAGTTTTGAGTGCTTTTGGCTCGTATAAAGTGTTGTGTGAGACCTAGGGAAACAAAATTGGTTCATTGTTCAGCTGCTAATCATACATGTCACAATACTCGGCAACAGCGGCGTGTTAGATGCTTGGAGCAGTGGCTGCAACTGGCAGCCACATAGCTAAGCTTCTTGCCCTGACATCATGCTGTGGAGGACTTCCCTGCCCCTGCCACCACGTCCAGAAGCATGAAGAAACTGGAGGTATACAAAGCAAGGGTGTGACCTTTTCAGCAGAAGCCCTCCATTTCTGCTAATAATGGCCGTCCCCTCCTTACTGTTGCTGGTTTAATTCTTTTCAATGGAAGTGTCGGTGTTAAGGCGTGATCATTTGATATCGGTAGGAAATTAAAATGGTGGTTTGCATGCAATGCAAGTAGTTCAACGGCTTTCTCTCTCAAGTGAAATGTATCTTGATCAGAAACTCAAAGGTGCTTCCTCTCTGAACTTCCAGCCGAACATTATCTCAGCAGCAGCAATTACATGGACTGCATCTCCTCCCTGACAGGAAGCAATGGCTGTAACTTGAACAGTCTATTTAAGGGATCTGACCTGCCTGAGCTGTTCAGCAAACTGGGTTTGGGCAAATACACAGACATATTCCAGCAACAAGAGGTCAGTGTCTGGAAAAGGCATTTTTTGTTGTTGTTCTTGCTAGAGTATTTTGATTACTTTCCAAACTAAATTGCTCAATTGCTACCATCTGCTGTCCTTCCATTGACTATTCTGCAAAGACCACATATTCATTCCTTGAATAGAGGAATCGGCAGCTTCAGGCCTTGGTGTTTTCGGAGAACTGTGCTGAGAGAGGCAACTTTGCATTTCCAGACAGATTTTCGTGGGGCATAAAAACACGCAAATGCAGGTGGGCTGGAGGTCCTTTCCTGTGCCCGGGAAGCAGGCCCTGCCCTGACCTGTCCCTACTGTTTGCATTCCAGCCAGCAGACTGGAACTGCCTTCCCCATTCGGCTCTCCCAAAATGTGCTAGAATGTAAACCCATCATCCCCAGGCAGCTTGGGCTGTGGCAGTACTGGCTGGGAATGATGGGGTCTGTGGTTCAACACATGGAGGGTGGTTGGGGAAGGCTAGACTCGAACCAAAATCAGGTTTCGGTATACAGTGATTTCATAGGCATGCAGGAAAAAGTAAAAAACACAGCATTTCATTGCTAGAGAATTTAAAAGGTCGTTTTAAAAGGTCCTTTTTGTGACACTGTCACCTCTGTGCCTTCATCCATGAGGGCAGAGGTTTATGCAGAACTTTCCATCTGTATGGTCACTATAGCCATATAAGTAGAGCTTGGTCACTGGAGACCACTGCCTTTTCGTCTGTTGTTCTAAGTAAGAAGGTCCTTGTGTATTCTTTGTTGCTGTAAATCCTACTTCGATCTCTAAATCAAAGACTAGAGTCATATAGGAAATTATCTGGGAGGAAGTTCCTGTGAATGCAGGGGGACTTCCTTCTAGACAGACTTGTATAGAATTGCATTGCATATTCCTTGCTCTGTTTTCTAATTTGATCATCCATGCTGTCTGAACGAAGTCCCATCCAGCTTCTTCAGGGATGTGGTCTGAACCACTTTTAGGTAGTCTGCATTTTGAGCGCTAGCATGAGGTGTCTATTTTAAGTGTATGTTTTGTGCTTTTTCTAGATTGACCTTCAGACATTCCTCACTCTCACAGATCAGGATCTGAAAGAGCTTGGAATTACTACTTTTGGTGCACGGAGAAAAATGCTGCTTGCAATCTCAGGTGAACAAAGTAACTGCACAGGGAAAAAAATCAAAACCGAATATTGTGTGTGCATGTTGTAGCTGTTAGCCAAAGGTCTACCACAGTGCAGTCCTGTCTCTGTCTACACCAGCCTTCCCCAACCTGGTGGCCTTCAGAGGCATGTGGATTGCAGCTCTGGGAATCCCCATGCAGCGGGCCCATCAGCTGGGAATTCTGGGTGTTGCAGTCCAAACGTTTCTGGGAAGCACCAAGTTGGGGAAGGATATTCTACACAGTCAGTCCCATTTGGCTCTTTGCATTCAGAATAGCATACATCAAAACCATGGTTTTAAACTGCAGGACAGCCTTCCCAAGCCAAGTGCTTTCCAGCTGTGCCCACTGCAACTCCCGTGATTCCTAGTCGGCATAGCCAGTGCTGGCTGGGAACTACGGGAGCTGAGGTGCAACGCAACTGAAGGGTACCAGCTTGAAAAAGGCTGGTGTAGAAAACCCCTAACAACGTATGGTTGAATACAAATGCCATTTGCATCTCATCTCTGTGTCGCATATTTAGTTAACCATTTATGAAATGCTATAATCAAGGCTTTTCTGTTGAATTACGTCAAACAATAATGAGCGCATTGCTCTGTTTTCCCCCCATCATGCAGAACTGAATAAAAACCGGAGAAAACTGTTTGACCCTTCCAATGTACGTGCCTCGTTCCTGGAAGGCGGCGCTAGCGGAAGGCTGCCGCGTCAGTATCATTCGGACATTGCTAGTGTGAGTGGCCGCTGGTAGCAGGAAATCTGGGCTCTCACAGTTGACTGCACAAATGGACATGGCACTGCTGTGGACAGCCACCACTGCACACTACCCTCTGCACTTTGGGAGTTTAGGTACCAAGGACCAAAGCCTTCTTTTCTGCACAAATCCTTGTGCCAAAAAGAGAGAGAGAGAGAACACTTTGTCTGTCTTTCCAAACACCAAATGTGGATTATCTTTTACTCATGTAGATTGGACAAAATTTGCAATAATAATTATAATAATATAGGGTTCTTTCTTTAGTATTTTATTACTTGTAATAACTATATTGTATGCACTGATTTTTTTTTACTTCTTTGAATGGAGATGAAGGGCTGGGATACCAGAGGGGCATAGCATGTGGTTTTTATCAAGAAGGTATTTCTGGTACTGCTTAATAATTAATTGAGGTCTTTCTGCACTTTACGTGTTCTGATTGCTTGTCCTGTGGAAATTTTATTGTTTTCCTTTAATTTCCATGGAAAAAACATTGTATTGGCACTAATCAACATTTGCCAGGTGTGTTCCCACATTAGATAAAAAGAAGTCTTGGCATAAATGGTACTAGCAAATCAAATTTTGATTATTTTCTTCCTTAAAGAAGTGTAGAGAAAGCTTCCATTTATCAGGTCTCCTAGTGGTAGACTCGATCCTCTTTTCACATTTGGGAGGCAAGTCTATAAACTGCTTGCGAAGGCTTGCACACTGTAAAAGATGCAACGAAAGACCAAAATGGACCTCACTGCCATCACTTAACCCTATTTAGCTGCTGCCTATAATGTAGAACTGATTTTAATGGTTGTCTCAAAGCAAAGGACTATTTTAGTATAAACTGCCACTAAAGGACACTTTATTTATAGCAAACGTCATATTTTTAGAATCTGTACACTTACAGTGCATAAAAGAGTAAACTGATCTACTAAAAAGTTTATGATAGAGAATGGAAGGCAATTTACCGTACCAGAGCTCTGGGCTCTTGCTTTGTTTAAACAGAGCATTAATTTCATTTGACAAGACAGCACTGTTGCATTTATTTCCAGAGGAATATTGCTTATATGACACTTCATTAAGCAATAGAGCAACATAAGTCAAATAGCTGCAATGACATCCATTTTCCAGGTTGAGATAAGTTTGTGATTGTCAGCTATGGACATTTTGAGATAGCTATTTCCAAAAATCTGTATTGACTATCAGTAGAAAGTGTCCGTGTTGTGCATGGATTGAGCTAACAGTTGTGTTCTTATACTGTGAAAGGCCAAGAAATCTGGTTATACTCTTTCTGTCTTTTTTGCAAATGGCTACATAAAAATTTACGAAGTGAAGGATAGCATGAAGTGTATCCAAACACAAATTTATCGAAACGGAAAAACATTCCCATAGCAAATATTGTGAATTACTTGTACTGTAATTTCTTATTTATGTACAATGTACAGACCCTTTAAGGTGGATGTAAACCACTCTTAACGAAGGCATTAGACTTAACCAATTACCATAGTTGTTTTTTTATATATGCAGAACTGGGGTGAGAAATAGTTTTGACACTTTCTGTGGATAATTCTTTTCTATGGTGAGGAAAAACCACACACACAAGTACACACGGGATTTTTAAAAGGTGAGAGCATAGACCATGTAATAGTAATCTGCTACATATCTGTGTTAGTTTTAACCATATCCAATGATGGCTGTACAGCTAAGCAACCTCTCACTCCTGAAATAGCTGCTGATCTTCCTTCAATGTTCGAAAAGGTACAGACCAGAATAGTGCATATAGGGCTGTTCGTAATGACTTCTGTTTGCAGTATTCTGTTCTTGAAACACAGCAGGTACTTCTGTTCATACAGCTTGAGTATAGAGGTCCTGACACTAAAGAAGCACTAACATTTTAGCACGAATACTTCCTTCGGTATGAGTTTCCTCCTGTCTGTAAAATCATAGTAATGCATCATATTGTATGTTGCATTATTGTAATACTTTGTTAGCAGCTCAGGAGCTTGGTTTGCCTTTGTACATTATTTTCCCAGCATTTAAACCTTTGTGTAATCAGTGCCAGAAGGTACTGCAATCTTTAGGTTTACATCACAGATCCAACGCATTAGACTCCTTTCGCACACAGAACTGTGCATGTTGATCTTTATTCAGTCTATATTTAAATGCCATGTGTTGATGACAGTATTATAGCTGGAAGATGTGATTAAGCTACTGTGGTCTATGCCGAAGTGAAGAATTTCCCAGATATAAGAATAAAGACAGGGCTGCGTGCACACACACACAAACACACACACATATTCCACACTGGAAAAACAACTTTCTCACTCCTTTTGATTCCACAAAAGGGAATATGGCAATGCAATATTCAGTATTGTCAGTATTGTATTATGCACAAAAGCTATTGAAACGTTAGTTTTAAATTTTGTGCCTTTATAGCGACCAGTTATCTGTAAATATAGAGCAGATACAGATTGTGTTTTGGGAGGGAAGGGGTCCTTTTTAGTGATTTTTAAATGAATAAATAAATAAATGAAAGATGGAATTAAACATTTAAAAGTGGGAATTTTCCAAACTAATCAAATGTTACATGAAAGAATAAATTTATATAACCCCCTTGTTACAGTGCCTATTAAATATGGTTTGTTTTTCCAGAGGCGTATTCCAGAGGCGAATTTGTGTTCTCTTTACCTGGAATGATTGTCTGCAAAACAGGGAAATTTTGGCTGATAACATTGCCGTTTCAGTAGGCTAGGCTTTGAAAAGACTGGCCTCAGCCGAATGCACGAGACTGGGATCTAGAGTGCTAACCATCCTTTTGAAAAGGAGGGCATGTCTTGCAGTAATCATCTCACCCATTTTTCTTTGCTGCAGAAGGGCTGAAGTCCTCTGAGACCTCAATGCTCCATACTACAAGTTGGCATAGTACAAGAGTGCTGCAAGCACAGGCCTTCATTCGCTTTCCTCATTTCTCAAGAAATCCGTACCTTGGGTAAACAAAGCGCATTGGGGAGAAGAGTGCCAACTAAACTTGTTGGTCCACTAATGTTGGTGGACCATTTCAGAAAAGGAGGTGCATTCAGACACTGCCAGGCCCATAGGCTGAGAATGTTTGCTGCAGAGAGAGTCTAAAGATACCCAAAAGGGGACTTGCCTAGTTTCACAGCACAGCAAAAACCTAAGTTTACTATAAAATCACACTTTTAAAAATCATTTAATGATTGAAATACATTCTAATCAAGCGAAAATAAAAGTGCTTGTGCACCCAGTGTTTTGTCACTAGTTGATTTCTTACTGAGCAGTTAGTTGGCTAGTGCAGCCCTTCCCAGTCTGAAGGCCACCTGATGTCTAGGGTTCAACTCCTATTAGGTCCAGCCAACATGGCAAACGGTCAGGAAAGCTGGGAGCTACATACCAGAACACTTGCAGGGCACCCGGTTGGGCCAGAACGATGCTTGCATGGTTTCCTCATATCTCCAGAAACTGATAAGCTTTTCCAATTAAAGCTGGAAATTCAGGGAGGGAGCTGGGACTGGTATTATGGGGGGTTTGCCTCTCACAGCCCTCCTTTCTATCACTGCATCCATCCATCCATCCATCCATCTCCTCCATGCTGAAAGACCGCAGTTCCAAGAGGGTTTGACGGCATGCTCTCTTTGAATGCATCCTTTTCTTGTGGAATACACAACTGACTGTGGATTCAGTGCTGGAAGTGGAGCGCAGTGCCTTTCTGCTCTGGGATACCTCCAGCAAAACAGGAAGGCAGCTTTGCAGGCCATACTGACCTTTGCACCCCTGTTGCAAAATTTCCTTAGCAAGGAACAGATGTCAACTGAAGCATCTCTTCTGTATGAACAAACCAAGCCTGGATGAGCAAAACAGTGCTTCCAATCCCCTGCTCAGGAAGGCTGGAGAATATAGGAGATAAGTCTAAGTAAGTAACATGAGTAATAGCTTCACTGAAGAGTCATACAATAGCAGGGTTGACAGAGGCCAAGGGAGGCATTAGGTCCAACCCCCTGCTGTTGCAGGACACCAAGTCACACCATCCCACTCAGAGGGCTGTCCAGTTTCTTCTTGAATGTCTCCAGTGTGGGTGAGCCCACCACCTCTCTGGGCAGCTGGTTCCACTGCTGTTCTGCTCTGATATTGAGGAAGATTTCCTCGTGTCTGGCCTGAATCTGGTGTGCTGCAGTTTAAATTCATTCTTCTGTGTCCTACATTCAAGGATAAGTGAGAAGAGGTCTCTTTCTGACAGTCTTTGAGGTACTTCTAAAGTGCTATCATATTCCCTTGAAGTCTTCTCGGAACTGAAGATGCCCAGCTCTCACAGCCTCTCGTCATAGAGCTTGGTTTCCAAACCCTGACTCATCTTTATTGCCCTCCTCTGAATCCTTTCCAGTTTTTCTGCATCTTTTTAAAACCTGGGTCCCCAGAACTGAACACAGTAATAATCCAGGTGAGGTCTGACTAGTGCAGAGTAAAGGTTATTGTTTTGTATGTCTCAGCTGAGAGCCAACATTTCTGTTTTTCCTGCTTGTTCTTAATCTGAACTGTTTTGGATGTCCATGGATCTCACACTCATTTTTCACCCTGTCTGTTTGTAAGCAATTAATCTGGATTCACCAAGTGATCTTGGGAAATAGATATATTTTGAGTTGAAAAGCTGTCTCACCTCTATAAATCAGGTGGAAAAGGTGATTCCTAGATACTGCTTGGCCCAACTCTTAAATTTATCTCCTACTGAAGACAATCTTTTGACAATCTAGCCTGAAATATGTGTAAAAAGAAAATTCAAATCCTTAAGTTTTTGTTACAATATGGATTAAAAACCATTTCAACCCTGCAGAGAAAAATAAGCTGCCTACATAGGGAATTGTGACTGAACCACTATCTCTGTCCATTTTTACAGACTGCAAATTGCTTTTTGCCACAGGTGCAGAGAAGGATAGAACTGAATGCCAGCTGTGTTTAAATTCTGAAAAGGAAGGACCTGAGAGCACAAGATCAAAGAAGCTCACATCGAAAAGGTGGATTTCAGCAGTTAAATGTTCTATGGAAAGAAAATGAAAAAGGCAAAGGCACTGTCCAAGTACAATGGTACTTACTAGCTACTTGAAGAATCACAGTTTTGAGTTGCATCACCACAAAGGAAGAAGGCTGCTGCCTCCAAAATACTGCAGACAATACGAAAAACCAGAAGGGAAGCTTCATAAGAAAATGCCTCAAAGAATGAGCCATGCAGAATGAGAACGGATGAAAACACAGGACCAAATCAGGAACAAGAGACTAGAAAATTATAGCTGCAGACATGATCAGAAGTGTGTCTGAAGCTACTGAACTGAACTGAAAATCACTGCTTTTTGCCTAGTTCCCAAGCTGGAATGTAGGATGATTACACTACTGCAAGAAATACTTGAGATCATGATTTGGATTGAAGGGGTCCTTTCTTTTATGTAGCAAGATTCTCGAATTGCAATGAAGATAAGCATTTGCATTCCCATTTGTAAAGAGCACCCTGAAGGAACGGGCTTACTCAGCATCCGTCCTTACTTCCCGCAGAGGCAGAACTTTCAAGGTCGTCTGTGCTTCCCGCTCTCACCTCAGCCACACATGCAGGATCTAGTCAAAGTGATTTGGAAACACCAAAGTCTGGGGCAGCTTGCAGGCAGTCAAGAGTTCAGTGTACGTGCATAATAGCTAGGTGCTCATCAACATCCCATTGTTGGGATTTCTGGCTGAGTCTACACCAGTCCTGGGAAGTGAACTCACTGGGGATACTTTGTAGAAACTAGATTTCTCAAGATCTTCATGCTCTGGCTGAACTGATGTTCAAATGCTTTTTATTTCACGAACTTGAAGCAATTTAGCAATGGAACTGCGGAGTTTCCTGGTGTTACTCAATGGAATTGCTAGCATTAACAATGCCCATTTCCATGACTGGGGCTGGAAGGCCGTGGCGTTAAGCAGTGTCATGCATCACCTGAGCAAAGGAGGACTAAACTGTTACAGAACTGGCTCACGCCACAAGGTGTTGCACCTCTCCGATAAAATAAGTAGAAAATAAGTGAACGGCATTTTTACATCAGTAAAGCACACTGCCTGGCAAACCTCATTTGTTCATGATCTCCTCAATAAAGTTGCCAATTTTAAATGATGCACATTAACCTAAACATTCATACAAGCTCATTGCACAGCCTTAGTCCTGAAGTTATACATCACATGGACTTCTCTTTCGCATCACTCCTGTTCTTCATGAAAAATGATGCATACGTTGAAATACAATATGTTGCTCTGGGATTTCATGTCAATTTATCCCATTTTTGGAGGCAATATTATATTGCATGGTGTGTTCCAACTTTCCTGCCTCCCTTGAAAATAGTTGGGACTCATCCTTGAAATGAAGCTGGTTGTCATGCATACATCCTCCAACTTCCATTCCACTGCCTTAAGTTCAAAAGAAAAGTTGCACTGATGTATTGTTTTCCCCCTCCCCTTTAAACATGGATGCCAGGGTCAAGTTGCTTTTTCCTGACCCATGGAAATATGCTCTGTAATTCCAGGATTTCACAATTAAAAGCCTAATCTTGCATTACAGGTTTTGTACTTTCCCACTTAGAAACAAAGCATAGAACAGTGTCCAGAATGTGTGTACCAAATTTCGTCTTACTATCTCAGATAAAATTACAAACTGACAGCCTCATAAATCCAGTGGTTGCTTGGTGAAACAACATCAGTAGTGCTCTCAGAGATAAACAGACACAGATGATCATTCTGCTATGCATTTTATCACAAATTTGTTCCTGATAACATGATTTTTAAAACTCTTACAACTGTGTAGGCTGATACAGCTAATCCAAAAACTTTTGTGCTGTTGTGATTAAAAAGTTAGATGGACTGGAGAGACCTAAGTTCATATCCATGCTCAGCCATGATGTTTATTGTGTGTTCTCAGTGTAGTGTAGTGTACTTTGTAAGCTGTGAGGATATAACTGAGAAGCTGGACCATGTACACTGCCTTGAGCTCCTTGGAAAAGGGATGCATAAATATGCATAAAAAGAATAATACAGATGTTCTAGCAGTCCTAGGTTATAAATGTTTGTCTTGGGGTAGATGAGCTCAGAATCTAGCTTTTCAGAGTGTGGTTTGTTTTTCCAGTTATAAAGAGTGTTAAAGTACCGCAGCCCTTCTTAGGGTTTATCAGACCTGATCTGGGGCAGGATTTTAGTTTGTTAATGACAGAATCCTATACATGGTTGTCAATAACAGAATCCTATGCATGTTCAGAGATGCTTTTAGTGGATGGTATATAAAAGATTTTAATTAATAAACAAATGTTTAGGCAGAAAAAATCCTAAACTCCAATCATGCCCCACTCACCCAACCTGCCTGGGGAGTTGTTGGGAGGTACATGATTTTTTTTCTCCCTGGATATGCACAGGATTGGGCCCAAAATCATTTTAAATAGGTTGTTTTTATTACTGTCTCCTTTTTACTCTTCCATGCACTAAACCCATGTGTTGCACCAGCTGTATCCTGAGAGAACAGGGGTGGAAAGGGTGCAAATCTGAGAAACAAATCCTGAAAATTCTCTGTTAGCTCACCGTTTCAGCAACTG